CGATGATGACGATGGTGATAGTAATGATGCTGCTGCTGGTGACGATGCTGTTGCTGCTGCTGATGGCGATTGCGGTGACGACTACATTGCGAATGATCATTATGATACTGATGATGTTTCAGATAATTCTGATGATGCTGCTGCTGCTGATATTGATAACGGTGATGACGATGATGATGACGGTGATGGTGCTGCGTATGATGATGACGATGCTGATGATGACGATACCGGCGATGCTGATGAAGATCATGATGATGTTGTTGTTGATGGTGTCGCCGTTGAGGATTTTGATAAGGACAATGATGATGTTTATGATATTGGCGAGTGTGACGCTGATGCTGATCATGGTGATGATGCCGAGTTGCCGATGATGATCATGATGCTGCTGATGATGATGCTGCTGATGATGCTGCTGATGCTTATCATGATGCTGATGGTGAGGCTGAGGATGATGATGCTTTTGATGCTGATGATGCTGATGCTGCTGATGCGGATGATGTGGTTGATGCTGATTTTGGTGACGATGGCGATGATGCTGAGAATGATGATGCCCGTGATGATGATGTTGATGATGATGATGCCGATGATGATGCTGATGCTGATGCTGCTGCTGATGACGTTGTTGTTGATGATGACGATGCGGATGCTGCTGCTGCTGCTAATATTTATGATCATTGTGGTGATGATGCTGATGCCGCTGCTACGGCTGCTGCTACTGCTGCTGATGCTGACGCTGTTGATGCTGACGCTGCTGATGATGATGATGCTGATTCCATGGATTTTCATGATGATGCTGCTGATGCTGGTGATGATGACGATGACGGTGATGATGCGGCTGATGATGATGCTGCTTAAAATGATGACGACGCGGCTGCTGATGGTGATGCTGATGATGCTGCCGCTGATGATGATGCTGATGATCTTGATGACTGTGCTGCTGCTGCTGCTGGTGATTGTGATGCTGATGCGGACGGTGATGCTGGATGCTGGTGCTGCTGATGATGATGCTGTTGATGATGATTATGACGAAGATGAGGATGAGGATGAGAATGATGCTGATGCTGATGATGACGATCGTGATGGTGATGGTGATGGTGATGGTGATGATGATGACGACGATGATGATGCTGATGCTGATGACGATCTTCATGGTGTTGATCGTGCTGATGATGATGATTATTCTGATGATGCTGCTGCGGATGGCGCTGCTGCTGCTGATGATGATGATGATGTTGATAATGTTGACGCTGAGGATGGTGACCATGCTGATGTTGATGCTGATGCAGCTGATGATGATGCTGATGATGACGATGCTGTTGCAGCTATTGATGGTGATAATGCTGATGATGATGGTGATGATGCTGCTGTTGCTGCTGTTGATGGTGATGGCGATGATGCTGGTGGTGCTGATACTGATGATGATATTGCTGCTGCTGCTGATGATGATGATGATGATGCTGAATGTGCTGCTGCATAGCAATTCTTATATGTACTAACAACTCCCACATGCATTGTTTTGGGGAGGGGGGAGAGTAAGGGTTCCATCAGGGTTCCCCCAAGACTAAACAGGCTTTAAGGCTGATTCCGCCGACCCTGCATTTTGTTCTGGTGGCCCCAGGACGGCCGCAATGGAGCCGAGACGCGCACAACGGCAGGTAGACGATTATTCCAGACCGGATTCAGCAGCACTTCGAGATTGAAGAAGACACTGGTACACCGTGGCACCTTTGTCGAAGAGGTCTGCGGCGAACAACAGTCGCCCCATGCCTCATGGAACTGCCCAAGTTTATGGTCACACGTTGGGTCGACGTCTTGCCAAGCTATTGCGCTACGTTTTCCTCCAGTCGTTGTGGAAACCCTGGGGGAACACTTGCGGGAGGAAGATGGAGGGATGGCGGAGGGAGGAGGAGGAGGGAGGAGGGAGGAGGGAGGAGGGAGGAGGGAGGAGGGAGGAGGAGGAGGAGGAGGAGGAGGAGGAGGAGGAGGAGGAGGAGGAGGAGACGCCTCTTTGGGGCCTCAAGGGGCGCCTCGAGGCCTCGAGCCGCCTGTGGGCCTCGCGGGCTTCCGAGGGCCTTGCGGGGGCCTCTGGGGATTTCCGAGGGGCCTCTTGGCCTCCAGGGGTTTTCCTGGGGGGCCCCTCGGGTCCGTCGTGGGATACTCCAGATTTCGTAATAAAAGGGAGGGGGTCTGGACCCTCCAAGACAAACCATTTCAGACCCCCCCCGTGGGAGAACCCTCCAAAACATCGTCCCCAGACCACCCCAGGCCCTCCAAGACAGCCTGGAAGAGACCCCCCCCGAACTGAGACCCCCCTCCCTTTATTACGGGAAAAACTCTTTTTCCCGGCAAACTCGACTTTTTCCCGGCAAACTGGACTGTTTCCCGGCGATCCGTTTCAGAAACATTTAAAGCTTTTGAAAAGCTTTACAGAACTCTGTAGAGCTTTTGAAAAGCTTTACAGAGCTCCCTCCGATTAGTGGTGCTACCAATGGTGTCCATGTATTAGTGGTACTACCAATGCTATTAGTGGTACTACCAATGCTGTCCATGTATGTACACCTCAGACTGCTATGATTGGATGTGCGACTGCTGCTCCCGATACTGCTTCCGATACTGTGCGACTACTGCTGCCGACTTGGATGCCTCTTGGGGCCCTCTTGGCACGTCTTGGGGCCTTCGTGGGCCCGAAAAAGTCACGCGGCCAGCTGCGACAAGGCCCAAGGCAGCTGCGACAAGGCCCAAGGGAACCGCGACAAGGCCCGGGAGATTTTGCAATTTGGGCTCTGGTGCCCTTAATGATTCCTCAGGAGCGAGGACTCAGGCTCAGGGGACGAGGCAGAGGACCTCAGGAAACGCCCACTCCGTGCCCAGAGGCACGGTGGCGGATAACCAGTAGTACGTCTACCTGGACGGTTTTTGACATCGCTTACGAATACTTCTGCTTTTACTACCACTAATCTTTCCACTGCTACAACTACTATTCGTAATCTCACTATCCTTAATACAATCACTCCTAGTAGTACTAATCCACTAACCCTACTACTACTACTGCTACTACTACTACTAACAACAACTACTACTACTACTACTACTACTACTACTACTACTACTACTACTACTACTACTACTACTACTACTACTACTACTACTACTACTACTACTACTACTACTACTACTACTACTACTACTACTACTACTACTACTACTACTACTACTACTACTACTACTACTACTACTACTACTACTACTACTACTACTACTACTACTACTACTACTACTATTACTATTACAAACACTGCGAGGAGTAGTGCTACGGCGAAGGCCGCACGACACAAGTCAACCACTGGACTCTTTCCCGGCTAGGATCTGCGCAGCGGGAGTTGGAGACCCTTAAGGTGATAGTGGGATTTTCGGAAATCCATGCTTCAAGCTTCCATACAAAAACTAAGCAAACTGGACTCTTTCCCGGCGGAGCGCCGGGGAAAAGTCCAGTTTGCCGGGAAAAAGCCCAGTTTGCCGGGAAAAAGTGGACAACCTTTATTACGAAATCTGGAGTACCCTTTGGACACTTGCAGGGCCGCCTCGGAGACCTGTGGGGCCCGTCCTGGGGGCGGGGGGGGGCAGAAGGGGGGCAGCTGCCGCTGCTGCCGCTCCCTTGCCGCGGTTGCTGCTGCTACTGCTTCGTAGACTTGGTGGCGGGGCGGCGGCGACCGAGCGAGCGAGGGGAGCGAGGGGTGAGGAAGGGGTGGTGCGGTTGACCCAAACGGGGGTCGAGCGACAAGAGGGTGGTGCAGTAGATTTGGTTCAATAGCTTTGTGGGGTTGCAGCAGACTGGAGGCGTGCAATACCTTCCAGAGCGCAGAACGTATCGTTGGATCTTTTGCGTGCGCTGCATTCGTTGCAAGACTATGCAGTACGACTCTCCGGCGCAATACATTTGGACTGTGATTGCCCCAACCCGATTGCACCACGCCCTTTCAGCTGATCCCCCCTTGGGGGTTAATCACAGGTGAGGAAGGGGTCGGGATTGTGCTCGACGACGCCTGCGGCGAGTCACTACCGCCTCCTGCCTGTTGGAAGCGCCTGAGTGGCCAGACGTCGGGGCAGAGTTTGGAAGGATTTTTGGGACACGTGTTCCCCCTGCCGTTGTAGAAGCCGTTGGGCGGAGATTAGAAGAGACCTCTTGGGGTGGTGTGCAAGCCAGGGGTGGACCTAAACGGTGAATTGGCGATCTCGTGGGCCGTTCTCGTCTCGATTTCGTTTTGCGTTGAAGACGAATCGAAGACAAAACGAGGGAAAACGAAAACAAAACGAACACGAAAAACACCGTTTAGGTTCAGTCCTGGTGCAAGCGGTTCGTCTTCTGAGCCGGGCACGGCCGCAGATATTTGCGGAACTGGGTTGTGCTGGGCGAGCATCGGCTGATTGAGGTTGCTTGCTTGTGCGACAGCCCGCCCCATCTGTTCGGCGCGCATACCCCAGCTTCTTTCTGAGAAGACCGTTGGCCAGAATTCCAGAATTCCCCTCGCTTCGCGGCACGTCTCGACGTGGAGAGGCGATGAGACAGAAGCGGGTGATTCTTGTCCTTCCCGTGGCCCCGTACCACTAACCCTGTCACAGCTCCCCTGATTCTGATCACGGGGGCACAGGGCTCCGCCGTGGCATGACCACGCGGATGCCGCCGACTCATGGCACCAGCGAGCGTTTGTTCCGCATCGAGTTCCAGACGACTTTGACCAACATGTCGAGCCGCGCCCAGCTTTGGAGGCAGGTCTGGCTGACTGACGGCCTGTTTTCCACCACCACCACCATAAGTCGGAGGGAGGAAGGAGGTGGAGGACGAGGAGGATTAGGATGAAACGGAGGAGGAGGAAGAGGAGGAGGTGGAGGAGGAGGTGGAGGACGAGGAGGAGGAGGAGGACTCCCTCCCCCTCCGGCTTATGGTGGTGGTGGTGGTGGAAAACAGGCCCAATACTGGCTCCCGACCCCCTGCCCATCAGGCGACCGCGCCTGGGACGTGGACCGGCCGCAGCCCGTGCGCTTCGACGACTACGTCAGGCGTGGGGCGGGCGGGGTCTGCGCACCGGCAGGGGGATCTCAGGGGTAGCCCAAGACGAGATCATTGAAGAGGATAATTACACAGCAGAGGGGTAAAAGCAGAAGGGACGGGGTTTTCAGGGGTCAACGATAGGGGGGGGATAGCCATAGGAGGGTATGCATCGGCCCTCAATCGCCCATGGATCGCCGAGAGGGGCCCGATAGTCCCACCCTGCACAGGAAGGTGCGGATTCACTATCGGGGGCCTATCGCCGATCTATCGCGATGTATCGCCGATTCCTGGTCGATGCATCCCCCCTATGCCAGTCCCCCCATATCTTTACCCCTCAGGTATGCGCAGAAGTTGGTTTAGCGGGAGAGGACTTGGGATTCCACCAGGGCTAACCTCGGTCACACTACCCCACCTGGGCGAACCTTGGAGCCTCCAGTCAGTCTAGTCAGTCTGATTCACAGAAACGGCGACTCTGTCTCACTTAAGTCCAGAGAAGTCGCAAGCAGCAGAGCAGTCTTTACCTGGCCCCACATCGAATCGGTATCGGTTAACCAATCCCCATCACCATCCCCGACCCTTTCAAGACCCCCACCAAATTACCAACCCAGTTGGGGATTCACCCCTCGAAACCGGGAGGGAACGGCCTACATCCACATCCAGGGGGGTCAAATCGGGCAGTGGGGCCCAGGCCACGCCCCATGGGGGTGGGGATCGGTTAAACGCTACTCATAGAAGAGAGAGAGTCAGAGCGTGAATTACCTACCCCGCTTTCGCTTCCAGGCAAAACCAAGTCATACCACGCGCCTCCTCGTCAAGCGGCCTGACCAGTACATGCCGTAGTTTGGCATCGTTTGGTATCTCTTGGAAGCGAGGGTGGTCAAAAGCGAGGCAGGTTTGTTTTCCCCCGAGAGAGAGAGAGAGAGAGAGAGAGAGAAAGAGAGAGAGACAGTGTGTGTGTGTGTGCGAATCTTGTGAAGGTCTCGCGGCCTGTGCCGCCGACCCCGAAGGCGGCACCTCGCTGGGGACCCCCGCGGGCGCCGCCTCCCCGGGACCCGCCTGGGCCCTGGGGCGAGCGGTGCTCCTCCTGCCTGCTCCTCCTCCTCCTCCTCCTCCTCCTCCTCCTCCTCCTCCTCCTCCTCCTCCTCCCCCTCCTCCTCCTCCCTCCTCCTCCCTCCTCCTCCTCCTCCTCCTCCTCCTCCTCCCCCTCCTCCTCCCTCCTCCTCCCTCCTCCTCCCTCCTCCTCCGGTGCTCTGATCCGGGAACTCCCCCGGGACGGGAGTAAGTCGGGGGCGGAAAAGAGGGGGGTGATGACTAAGGGGGGGTGGATATCATGGCGCGGGGCATGAGATTTCCCCAGATCTCGTGGCGCCTCTCCTTGTTTCATCACGTCCCTCGCCCCCCCGCCGGGCCGCGCACATGCCGCCGGTCATGATTTGCACCGCCCCCTCTTGGACACCCCCCTCTTGGCCGCTCCCGAGTAAGCAAGTCAGACGGTCGAACCACCATGGATGCCAGCATACTGCTTTGGTGGACGCAACTCCTGGCTGGACCGAATTTGATGTTTTCCGCTCTGACATTCACCACCTACCAAACCACCCCAACCCAACCCGAAGGCCTCCATTTGCCCTCCATTTCCAGTGGGGGGGGGTCAGGGAACATCGAAAAAACGCGTACGGAACCCATACCCCCCCCAACCCGAAATTTGGGTCTTCGGGTTGGGTTGGGGGGTCTGGTAGATAGTCAGACATTCTTGAGGCCACATGCCCACGTCCCTCACACACGTGCTGCTACATTGCGCTGGGCCCCACCACCGACGGGAACTCCCCCAGGAGCGCCCTCCGGGTCCCTCCCCCGCAGGGAGCCCCTCCTGTCCTCCCTGTCCACAAGGGGAGATGGGGAGGGGAGGGAGGGCCGCTGGGACCCCGGGGGGGGGGGCGGCAGTCTAACCCATGGCCCCCCCTCCTCCCCCCCCCGTCAAGAGGGGAAGAGGGGGTGGAATACCCGGGCTCCCAGGAGCGAGGGTGCCATGAACGTTCTCAGGGCAAGTTCCCGAGGCGCTCCTTCTGTCTCCGTGCCGGCCCAGGTGACGGAGAGAGCGAGGCACGGGCAATGTACGTTGAGTTGGGTGCTCGCGCCTCCCTTTCAAACGACGCGATGATCGGGACAAAATCGGATCGGGATAACTCGAAATCTCTGAGAATCGGCGGGTTTGGAGGATGTATTGGGCGCCGCGGCCGCTCCAGAGCGTTCCGGAACGCTCTGAGAGCGCTCCAGAACGCTCTGGAGCGATTTATCCCGATCCTAGCCCTGTTTTACCCTTGGGGGGAGTGCAGAGGGGGGGGGAGGCGCGGAGTTCTCCAGTGAATGGCCAGCCTGGGGGCAGTTTTCCCCGTACTCTTGAGCGAAGCGGCTCCACGGGCGGCTTCCGTGGCCTGTTTCCGTACAGTTTTCGAGCGAAGCGGCTCAAGGGGCCACAAGACGGCCCAAGAGGGCCTCGCAGCGGCCCAAGAGGGCACCAAGACTGCCCCACGAGAGCTTCAGATGGCCTCCAGACGGTCCACGAGAGCCTCCAGACGCCTCCAGAGGGCCCCCGAGAGGGCCTCCGGAGGCCAAACACATTGATTTCCCCAAAGGTTTTGCAGGTTTTTCGGGTCCTCCCTTTTTCGGGTCCAGAAGGGCCCCAGATGGCCCAAGAGACCCCTAAGATCGTCCCAAGACGCCCCCAAAGGCCACCCAAAGGGGCCCGAAACGGTCCAAGAGGGCCCCCAGACGGGCCCAAGACGGCTCAAGATGCCGCAAATATCGTCCCAAGACGGCCCCAGAAGCCCCCCCAAAGGGGTCGAAAACGGTCCAAGAGGGCCCCCAGACGGCCCAAGAGGGCCCCAGGACAGCGTCAGCTTTCCCCGAAACGGTGCAAGATTCTCCAAAGACGCCCGAGGGTGGCTCCAAGGCGGCCCAAGAGGCCCCAAGGACACTCCGAGAGGGCCCCGAGAGGACGCCAAAGAGGCACAAATCGTCAAGTTCTTATGGGAAAACGTACATATTCAGCATATCCGCCTTTTCTGCTGTTACGCGGTCCAAGACTGGCCAAGAGGCCCCCCCAAGACGACCCAAGCTGCCCCCAAGAGGGCCTCATGACGGCCCAAGAGGACCCCAAGACGGCCCAAGGGGGCCAGAATAGGCCCAAGAGGGCCCAAGACGGCCCCAGGAGAGCTCCAAGAGGCCCCCAAGAGGCTCCCGAGAGGGCCCCAAGAGGCTGCCAAGAGAGCCACAAGACGGTCCAAGGCCTCCAAGACGCCCCTTGACGGCCCCAAAGGGCCCTAAGACGGCCCCAAAGGAACCTAATTGTCCAAAAAGGTCCCAGAAGGGCTTCTCAAAGACTCCCAAGAAGGCACAGAGACGCAACAAAAAGAAAAACGCGATCGGTAACGCAACAAGCTCTTCACACCAAGGCTTCCAACAGCGAACGGTGACGTGACAAACTCGTAACACCAAGGCTCCCAAGAGCGAACGTTGACGTAAACACCTCTCAACACCACGGCTCCCAAGAGCGAGCGGCAACGTGAAAGTCTCTGAACACCAAGGCTTCCAAGAGCGAGCCGTGACGTAACAAGCTCTTACCACCAAGGCTCCTAAGAGCGAAGGGTGCCGTGAGCCATCTCGGGAAAGTTCCTCCTGGTCCTCTCTTTCCATTCCCGTGCCGGCCCAGGTAACGGAAAGAGCGAGGTACGAGTGATGTACGTTGAGTTGGGGCGAAGCCCTCTAGGGTCTAGCGGGGAGTGCAGAGGAGGGGCGAGGCGGGGCCGAATGGATGTAATGGCCCGTTTCCTTTTTGTATTCTTTCGAATGAAGCGGCTCCTGGGCAGCTCCCATGGTCCGTTTCTTCGTATTTTTTCTGGTGAACCGGCCAGAGGGCCCCAAGACGGCCCGAGAGGGCCCCAAAACAGTTTCAAAGGGCCCCAAGACGGCCCCAAGGGAGCCTCAGATGGCCTCCAGACGGTCCAAGAGAGTCTCGAGACGGCTCCAAAGGCTCTCCACAGGCGGCTCCCGGGGCCAATGATTTGTCTCTGACTGGTTTTCCTGTGATTGAAGGGCCTCGACAGTTTCTGAGCGCACGACCGCTCCGCCTGCGCTCTCTGTCTCGCCGAAACCGTTCTGGCTTAAAGCTCTGATCGTGGGGCCCCGGGAGCGGATGGGCCTCCCGTGGCTGGCGGCCGGGCCTTGGGCTGCCTCGGTGGCGACCGCCTGGCTGACGCAGTGCCCAGCGTGCCCTGAGGCTCGCGTCACCTGCGGCAGCTGCCCGTCCTGCCCTCCGCCGCCGGCGGTCAGCTGCGGGACGTGCCCGAGCTGCCCGACGTGCAGCCTGAGCTGCGGCGGCGGGCCGGGCTGGTGGGCCGTGGGCGCTGCCCTGGCCGTGGGCCTCCTGCTGGGCGGAGGCGGCCGCGCTGTGCTCCGCGCGGTGTGCTGGGTCGCCGAGCTCCTCGGGGGCCTGGCGACGCCTCGTCCCGCTCAGGGCGAGGACACCCTCGTGAACGACGACGGGCTGCAGGTCTCGCTGGCGGGGCGGCGCGGGTTTCGCGCTGTGCGCGCCTGAGCGACTGAGTCGGGATGGCGGCTCTTCGCACTCTCGACGTGCCGGAGTCGCAGGTGTGCGTCAACTTCGACGACGACGACAACTTCAGATGGCACCATCGGCTGTTGCTGGTGCAGCTCAGTCCAGGCGTCTGGGTCGCGGCGAGCCCGGACGGAGAGGTGCTCGTCCTGGACTTGAGCGGGCACTTGGTCGTGGCGCTCCGGCGCGACTCGGCCTTCCCGCAGAGGGTGCGCGGGCAGGTGTACGCGTTCGGGCCGACCGACCCGGACGACATCGAGGCGCTCCGAGTCGAGGCGCGGGCTCTGGCGGTGGTGATGGGCGTGACGACGCCCACGGCGGCGCCTGGCGCTTTGCTGCCGCGCTGGATCGTCTCAGACCCTGCGTCGCCGGACTTCGGGAAGGAGCTGGACATCC